TACGTTCAGTAGGTACCCTTCAGCTTTATCAACTAGTTCTTTTTACTTTCTCTGAGTAAAGACACGTTTCGAATGCTGATTCTGAGCTCACACTGTCGAAAACGTTTCCTTGGAACCTTATCTGACGTTCGATAATTACATAGCGCTGTCCAACTTCTCCATTCAGATCGGGTAGCCGTTTCGTTACTTAATGGTATTCTCGTCATATGTTAGACGGTCTTCTACAGCCTTTGCCTGTTGCCATGCTGCCGGCTGTGAGAAAAAGTGAATCCGGATCTGACCGTCGACTACCCGCCGTCTGCCTCCGTTTTCCTAGAGCCTGCGCAGCATTTGGCACCTTGGACGACGCCCGAGTCGGCATAACGTTCGATGACGGCAAAAGCATGAATTCAGGTTGACAAATTTTACGGAAACCCGATCACAGTCGCTGATTCTGTTTCTTCCCAATGCGGGTTTCGGACCTGCATCGGCAAAATGTGTTTTGTTCGTGTTTCCAGTTCTCTTTTGTTCGGGAAATTCTGCAAGTAGTAGAGCAGAATTCGCTCTTGATCCAGTAAGTAGAGTCCGATGTCAATGTGTGACACGAACTGGATACGTTGGAATGCTGATGTTTTTTGTTAGCGTCAGTCGGGCGCTGCAGATAAAGTAACAGCTTGGCACGGATGGTAGCAGAGACAAACAATTAATGCCCGGTCGGGTTAACGGGGAATATGACTGAGCGCATTCCAGTCGACATCCAATCCATCAGCCATCAGATTGGCGGGTTTCATCGAGAAAGCTAAGCCGAAGTCGAAGGTCGCGCAATGCTGCGGCGGAGCGGAGTACAGTGCGTAAGGCGTTGATTTTGTGTTGAAGATATCTACCCATTTCCATCAGTCTTTCAAGCAGTCACTTAGTCTAACTGTTCACTATATTTTGCTTTTTTGTGCTCTATCGTCTTCTGAGGCTAACGATTTTTTAACAACAGCAGGGTTGCACAAACTGATCATGCCTGGCCTAGTTGAAATAGTTTCTCAGGTTTGCATGAGACGTGCCTCGTTGTTTTGGCAAAGGGATATTTCTAACCGTAGACAGGTCTCCTTAATACGGAGTTTCCTAGCATCAGCATTTTAAGGTACGAAAATCGGTAGAGGAGCGACATCGGCACAGTACTTCAACCCAAATTTTTCATTGAGCATTGCCGTACGATGCGTTTCAAACATAAATTTTCGTTGTCTTTAGAAGGGTCAATGCCTTCACAATCATTTTGCGTCCCCGGTATTTATTCTAAAACTCTCTGATTTCCTGGTTTTTTACAGTTCAAAAGCGCGGCTGTAACCAGCAAACTTAGGACTTAGAAAAAAGTTGATGACTAAATTTCCTGTTTCTTCTTTCGTCGCTGTATCAAACAGAGCCAGACGCTGGTATCTAAGTAAGCAATTTATTTCAATCTAATCAGTGTCAATATCAGTATCAATTTGTGTAGAAACAGCAGGCAGCGCTAGATAATATTCTTATGTTAGCTTTCACGTCTCTGTTCGAATTCAGGTTATTCAGAGCGTTAAGGTACCTGCATTTGCTTGCTTCCTTTGTCTTCCGTCTCTTTATCGATTCTCTGATATTTCTTCAATAAACGAAGTCGCAGCGAGTGAAAATTGACTTCAGTAGGTACAGGGCATAAGTCGTATGTCTGCAGTAACTGTACCACTCTAACCGGTCTTCTCTTTAATCATTCGAGTAAGTTCCCAGTTACTGGTTTTACCGAGAATTGATCCACAATCATGAGATCATCGCTTCGATTTTCTTATTGTACATGTGCTTATCTGCTGAAGGGCAAGATTTAATCCTGGTTATTCTCTATGTTTCTTCTACGTTGCTCAAGCCCAACAACCTCGAAAGTCCTTGTGAATTTATTTTTGGTACGGAATGAAGATGACAGAATGACAGGCGATCACCAACAATTAAGCATAATTAGTATACTGTCCGATGCGGTTCTTGGCTGGTGGTGATCAATTCTACCGCACTTGGGTTAACAAGTCGGTATGAGCTTTAAAACTATTTACTCTTGCGGTTCTAATGATTTCGTCCTTTCCAATGCATGTTTATTATTGCCTAAATGGTTAATTGTTTACCTTTCAGCTAGAAAGAGTAGATTCAATTCAACTGACTAGCACCACTCAATAAATGCCTAAAACACAACGAACAAGTGCTGCATAATCAGAATTATACGTTGACATATGGAGAATTCCATTCAGCCAAATATGGCAAAATATTAGTTCATGCGCTGGAGTTGATTAACTGGCGTATTACTCCACGTTCAGGTTTCACGATATATAACACTAACACTTTGCTCCTTGTTGCCTGGGGAGCACTTAAGCAAGTTACTACCTCACGGTGCATAAGCAGCTACTGGCCAGTTGCGCCTCACATTATTTTGCTCGCTGCATGCAGTTATCTCATACTCGTCACGAAGGATGCTTCAGGAGCTGGTATTTTCCTGCAATTCGATTCCGATCATT